TGAACACTGTTATGTTTTCTGGGTAGTATAAATTCTTTAGCAAGCATAAGAGCCTGAGTTGTAAAGAAAACATTGACATTTATTTATAGCTACAATTTAGATCACCATAGTGACACGACATAAGTTGAATTACATTTGTGAACATGGAGACTCTCCCAAATAATGCCCACGGCCTCTGAAATGGCTTAGTGGTTAGAGTGTTTGCCAAGCAAGCCTGTGGACTGGAGTTCAGATCCCCAGAATCCCTGTAGATGCCGGGTGGATGTACCCTGCTGTTACTGCTCGTACAAAAAATTATTCTCTTCTTACACAATACATCCCAACCGCAGCCTCCTCTCCCTCTGCTCTGCCTAGTCTCTCCCCATGTCCTCTCTCTCCCAACTTCTGAAGGCAGAGACAGAGGATCCCTAGAGTGATTTGGCTAGTGAAACTGGCCAAATCAGTGAGCTCTGGGTTCGAGAGACTGCCTCAGTTAATAAGATAGAAGAGCAACCGAGGATGAATTCCAAGATCCAAAGTCAACTTTGAACTTCCATTTGCGTGTGCACTCATGTTTATGCACAGGCACATGTGTGTACTTGTACATGCACGCACTAATGTGCACGCACACACACACACACACACACACACACACACAAGACTAGTGTTCCTGAGTCTGTTTATACACTAATTTCCTCCTATTTCTGAAATGGGCTGTGAAGCCTGTGAGCGTCTGAATCTTTTGTCTCCCTGAACTCATCTGATTTTAACAAGTGTAAGAGCCTAAACTTTGCATGTATGCATGTGTATAAAACATGTGCATCTATGTACAGAATTATGTATTACATATATGTATTGTATATGAAGTCAAACTGAGCTAACAGCTTGTCCTCTGGGGTTTCCAGCAGGTAAAAAGATGGCAGTGTATTTTCTCCTACCAACTTGGCTCTAGGCCTGACAAACCTGTGACACATCCGTTGCTCCATAACCAAAAAGGGACAGTAATGTCATCTTCTTGCACTTACACTGAACTGGATTCATATGAGAGAAGGGCAGTGGGGTTTTATTTATTTATTTATTTATATTTATTTAGAAATTAAATTTTTTCAAATATTTTCTTCTCTCATATAATACATCCTGACCATAGCCTTCCCTCCCTCCACTTCTCCCAGTCCCCCACCCCACCTCCCCTCTCTCCCAGATCCATTGTTCCTCTCTTTCCCTTCAGAGAGTAGCAGGGCGGCCAGGGATATCAACTTAACAAGGCATAACAAGATGCAATAAAACTAGGCACAAACCCTCATATCGAGGCTGGATGAGACAACCCAGCAGGAGTAAAAGGGTCCCAAGAGCAGCCAAAAGGGTCAGAGACACCTCTGCTCTCACTGTTAGGAGTCCTACAAAACCTTCAAGCTAAGCAGCTAATGTATATTTGCAGAGGGCCTAGAAAATGCAAGCAAACTTGCTCTCCATCATTTGGTCTCTCACCAGTCTTATTTACTCTCGGCTCAGTATTACGATTCCCACTGCAACTCAGATTTTAAGTAGGAAACCCACTTCCCTTGGAAGGCTTATCAGCTCTCCTTGACGACCTACGGAGACTGATTAAGACTTCATAAATCTTGAGAACTTGTGGTTGGTTTTTCTTGGAAGAGGAGGATGGAGGTGATTATATACAAAAGCCAACCAGGCGGCCATCCCCAGGCTTTTAGAGACCATCCCAGTGGTTTCTCTTATCAGTGTGCTCCTTCAAATGAAGGATTCAAGGGAAGAGTAGAGTGCAGCCATTTCACTTACTTAGTTCTCTGTGGATGGAGTTATTTCAGAGCTTGGTTACACGTAAATATTGCAGTCAGTTCTTTTGTGCTACAAACCAGGCACCAATCAGAATGTCTTCTCCTCAGGAACCCGTGACTTGATCTTCTGGCCGAGTGCCAGCTACAGGAACCACAGGTTCAGCTTGACTACTATTTTAAAATGAATATATTTTTATTCTTCAAAACATATGTTTCTCAGCCTTTATGACACAATGTTTGAGTCAATATATCACCAAGTGAATATAATAAATTATAGTACTATAAACTCCATGGAAATTTTATTAATGTTTTTAATGTATTCTCATGTGACAGCAACATGTTTTTTAGATATTCATAAATTTAGACTTTAAAAATCTTTGGTTCTAGGGTGCTATGAATGTTGTAATGGGTGGAGAATCCATAATTGTGAAACAGTGCTCTTGAATTTTCATATACTCCTGATAACCATCAGCTCTTTCATATGCTAATTATAGTGGTATTAAAAACACACAAGTAATATTTTTTTTTGCAGCTCGATTGCTTTGGGCCAAAGGAATTATTTCCAGAATAAGCTGGCAAGTTCCTGCTTGGGGAATTAGGACTCTGATGTCCTTAACTTTAAAATAACTTGCATTTCATTTTATGCTTGCTTCATAAAGTAGTCATTCATTTTCCGACTAAATTGTAACCAAAGCAGGCCACATCAATAGCGGCCGGCCTGTGGGCTGAGGGTGTGTTAGGTCGGAGGACATGAAGCAAAATGCTAAAAATGGCAGCCAGATGGCTAATTTATAAAGCAAACCGAGGACTAATGCCCTTGTATCTTTATACCTACATCTCCGTCCACAGTGAGTTTACCACAGGGTTTGTGGATGAAGAAGGAAGTCTAACATAGTGATTTATTATTTTGAGAATTCTTGGAATAAATGTCTTGCTTTCTGTTGTCACTTTGAGGAACTTGGAGTGGAATCAATGGGAGAGATGCACTGGGGTTTCAGGTTTACAAGCTTGGGGCTCAGTGTTTGCACAAGTGGCCCTTGAACACAATGGGTGGCAGTTGGGTGTGGACTTTGGCTATGAACCCTACAGAGCTGACTCGAGACAAAGCCATGAGACAACTCGGCTTTCTTTTTCTTTTAGTTTAAATTTCTGCTTCAAATCATTTTTTTTTTAAGTTTAAATAGGTAAAATGAAATAATTATTAAAGTTAGCGTGAAAAACACTTCCAAATTTTAAAATCACTTTCAAAGTAACTGCTGTTCCATGTGTGCTCCAGGGGTTTTTATTTACTGGTGTTTCTATCAATTTGGATTTTCTCTTGAGCTGTTTCCCTTCAACTTGTCGTTCTCCTTGAAATTGAGAACACTGATTAAGTAAAATAAAAATAAACTGTAGTAAAAATGTATCTTAAAATGTAATAAATAGCCAACAGAAAATATCAGAGGATATCAGTCCAAAGAAAGAATAAATTCCAAGTGGACTATAAGTTTTTAGGTTTCTAAATTGGCATGCCACAGAAAGTGTTTGGATGTCACTTCCCTGGTCTCACAGCCACCTCCCTCCCTAAAATTAAGAGTATCTGAAATCACCCTTTCACTCTGTTGTTTATTTTGTTCAGTCATCCACATGAAAAGAAAAATGACATAAGCCTGGCAAGTGAATGGCCTTCTACACCAGGCTGCTGTGGTTCTCCAGAAGAATGCAGCCCCCCAGCCCAGCACGGCTTTCCTGCCAGCCTCCCAGCTTGGTGCTTCTTGAATCTTTAAAATATGGCATCCCGCTGTCTTAGACAGGGTTTCTAAGGCTGTGGAGGGACACCCTGGCCACGGCAACTCTTATAAAGGAAAACATTTAATTGGGGGCTGGCTTACAGTTTTGGAGGGCTAGGCCATTGTTGTCATGGCCGGAAGGGCAGTGCCATGCAGGCGGACATGATGGAGAAGGAGCTAAGAGTTCTACATCTTGATCTGCAGGCAGCAGAATTGACAGTGTGCCACACTGGGGAGGGTTTGAACGTAGGAGACCTCAAAGCCAGCCCCTAACGGTGACACACTTCCTCCAGCAAGGCCACGCTCCCTAATAGTGCCACTCCCTATGGGCCAAGCTTTCCTGTTCATGAGTCTATGGGGAGCGATTCCTATCCGAAGCACCACATAGACTCACGACAAGTGAAAAAATAGGGAGGTTCACAGAGTACGAAGGTTCATCCAGCCCGTGACTGTAAGGTGGGAAGATGTTCTAGACCACAGGCTCAGGAGGAACAACTAGCGGGTTTATGGTCTGTCTTCAAACCTAAGCATTTAGAAGCATAAGGGGTCACAGCTTTGGAGGCAACCATAACCCTGTTGTTTTCACGCCAAAACTTGATTTTCACGAAACCTTCTAGATCCAACCAAGGAGGGAGGTTCCCTAGAGGTGCGTGAAGTAAGCGGACACATGTTTAAGGCTAGCTGAGCATGATGACCTATGCCTGTCATCCCAGCACTGTGGAGGCAGAGACAGGAGGACCGTCGTAAGTTAAAGGCCAGCCAGGGCTACGTAGCCTTGCCGAAAACCAACCAACCAACCAAATAAACAAACAAACAAACAAAGGAACAAATGAATGAATAAAGCAAAGATGGCATGAAGGGTAAACAGAGAGAGTTTAAGGACAGCAAAGAAAGGAAAGTGAGAATCAGTATTAAAGAGCATATGGGTGAGCTGGGCATGGTGGCGCAGTCCTGAAATTCCAGTACTTGGTGAGTTAGAGCATGAACTGGGCCACAGAGCCAGTTCCAAGCCAGCCCAGGGATAAAGGGCAAAGATGCTTTTTCAAAAGATAAAACAAACAAAACAACAACAACAAAAGTGTATCAGATCCAATAATATAAAAAAATAATCATCACAGAATAAATAATGTAGAGAAGCATTTGTAGATTTCTTTGGAACACACACACACACACCATTATTTCAAAGATTATATAGACCAGGATAAGAAGAAAAGCTACTTGATCGGTATATCATTCCCTAAAGAATTCACTCTCTAATTTATAAACACCTCCTTGAGGTTTTTGTTGTTGTTGTTTGGTTTTCTGGTCGTTGGAAGTTTGTTTCTTCAGAGTTTACATTTTGAATCATTGCAATAGTACACACTATTAAAATTTTTGTAGGCAACTAGTACCTTGTCTTTGCATCATTTCAATGTGTGCCACCTCTATAAAAACTATTGTTTCCTTCCTCCTTTAGGAACTGTGAAGGACAGAACATCAGATACAAGACATGCAGCAATCATGTAAGTCTGAGAAGACTGTGTCATCTAATTAAAGCCTAGAGTGTTTAACGTGTACTGTGAAACCAATAGTGTCTTGAGAGCCCTTCTGTTACTTTTAAACACTGGTTTTGTTGATGACGGCCTTTGTACATAAGTATCTTCCGCTCTCAGTGCTCTGTTTAGTCCATTTCACATTTATGGTAGAATGTCTAAGTATGTGATTATGCCTCCATCCCTAGAAGTGGTGAATACAAGAGTTTCAGGGTCCTTCAAGGCCCGAGTGCCTGTGTGTCAGTATCTCTTCAAGCCTCCTCCACAGGGTCTGGGAACTCACAGGCATGTGAAGCGGGACTGAGGCTGAGGACCCCCAAAGAAAGACTGCAGACGGGAAGTGGCCTAATGGTGTTTCCACTGCTGCAAACTGCCCGTTGTGCCCCCTGTGGGCAGGGCTAGGTGACACAGAAGGTCACACAGAAGGATTTATACAGCCCTTCCTGTTTGTTACATTAGTCAACACCAAAAAGTATTAGAATATTTTGCTTTGCAATTATAAAAAGCAGAATTAAGAGTTGGGAGGTAGTTCAGTTGGTAAAGAGTTTGTCTTGCAAACATGGGGACCTGAGAATGAGCCCAGAACCCATGTGAAAATTCCAGGCGTGGTGGTAAGCTCGTAATCCCAGCCCTGGGGAGACAAAGACAGGGGGAGCCTTGGGGCTCACAGACCAGCCATCTTAGTCTAATTGGTAAACTCCAGGCTAATGACAGACCCCATCTCAGAGGAGGTCCGTTGTGGGGATAACTTTTTGTGTGCTGTGTGCGAGTTGTCTCTGCATTCGAATGTCAGTTGCTGCACCAGGAGAGAGCGAAGAACTGGCCGACTTTGGCTTGTTGTGACTCATCACTGGCATCATTGTTTGTAAACACCCGTCCTTCTTCACCTGTTGATTGGCTTCATAAAAATCTGATGGCCAGTAGGTAGCAGGACTTCTGGGCTGAGAGAGGGTCTCTTGGAGAAGAATGAGAGGCAGGAAGGGACAGACATAGCAGGACTGTGAGAGAGAGAGGTAAGGAGCAGCCACTTGGCAGAATGCAGGCCAGGATTCTTCGGGTTAATTTGTATGAGACAGCTGAGGCTTTGCCCAGCGGTAGTGCCTAAACTTTTATTAGTATTGATATGTCTCTGTGTCTTTATTTAACCGCTGGCAGGTCCAGAGAGTCCTGCTATATAGGCAGTGGCATTCTTGAGGATAACAGCCAAGATTTCCCCTGGCCTCCATGCATACATGTGGACATATGCACCCACACGTGCCCATTCACACATGCACACACGAAGACATGCGCACTCGCTCTTTGGTTTGCACATGGGCACGGTACAGACATCAAGCATGAAAAATTAGTAAACGCAATCAATTGTTTACATTTCAAACATCTTCATCTTCAGCAAAATATCGTCAAATCGAAATGACAGGGCTCAGATGGACTTCTGGGGCTCTGGGGAGCTCTTCCGAGGGAGATGCCACTGTTCTCTTAAAGAGAAGCTCAGCAGTATCTCCAGTTCTGTTGGGAGATGAGATCATGCTTGAGACAGCAGGGATAAAAAGCACAGCAGCTTGCAATATCCCACAAGCCTAACAGTTGCTGTAGGACAAGACCTGGGCCAATGGCAGACACCTGAATAGTCAGCGAAGCCAGGCGAGGGAAAAGCAGGGAAGGAAACAGATGAAAAGCAATGGGAGCCAGGTCTCTGACTTGGAGTCTCTGACATGAAGTCCTCTGTGCCCATCTGTATTCATTCTGTTCCTTGTTCAGGTGGGTCCTCCATATTGAGGAGGGCATTCCCACATAAAAGCTTACCCCCCCCCAAAAAAAAAAATAAATCACTGGCTAAGGAAGCAATCGATGTCTTTTGTTCAGAAGCATGGGGCCATAGGAAATACTTTCAGAACCCACAGATCTCATGCAGTAGGCCAACCATCCTTCCGGTGGCAGCTGAGGGAGAGTAGAACAGGGTATGGGGTCACAGTGTCCTCTCCAAGAGATAAGGCTGTGGTTTAGGGGCTCCTGGGTTCCCTGTCAAAAGAGTTGGGGCTTTTGGCTGAAGATGAGGGAACAGAATGTCTGTGAGCAGCACGGTGACTCCTAAGCAATTTCAGTCTTTAAACATAAGCTTTGGTTGGCATTCAGCATAGATCCTTACAGCCAGGGCTGGGACCCTGGAGTTGGGAGCGAATTATCCTTATGAGGAGTCTATCAGAGCAAACATGAGTTTTCAGAAGTCACGCATGCCGGCCAGGAGTTCTGATACCCGGATTCATTGGTTCAGGTTTTCTTAGTACGGGGTTTATGGAATTAAAGGCAGAGCTGGAAGAATCAAAGGGGAGTGTCCTCAAAACGGTGCAGCAGGTTACAACTTGGCAGGAACATTTTTGCAACATGGGCAACTTTTTTATGAGCACCATCAGCCGTGCACGGTGGGCTTTCTGATGGTTTCCAGAAAAGGTGACACTAGACATGGCCCTTGTGGGGTCCTTCTTTCAAGCCTTAGAGCCCACGAGTGGCTAATTCCTAACAGTTGCTGATTTGTTGTTTCTCTTGGAGGCATTCTCTTCTTTCCACCGCTATTGCTTCTCCTCTGTGTAAGAGCCACATCCTGTAGCTCCAATGGCCCAGTGGTTGAGAACACTCGGTGCTCTTTCAGAGGAACTGGAGTTTGGTTTCCAGAACATGTGTTAAAAAGCTCACAGTTGCCTGTAACTCTAGCTCCGGGGACCACAACACCACCTCTGACCTCTGTGGACACACACATACACATGCTCTTAAATAAATAACAAATCTTTTTAGAAAGTCCATGTCCTCTCATACCTGTCTTCAACTATGGGACTAGACCAAGCTATTTTAAAATACAACAATCCCTGCAATTTTTTAGCTGCGCCTAGCTAAGCCAGTCTGCTCAGGCTTAGTGTTGATGCTAGAAGAATGTAAAGTAAATGAAAACAATTGCCTGAAGTTGCCGAGGGCCCCTACATTTCTTAGAAAGTGGTATCCATGAAATAGTTCAGTCACCGTCAGAAAGCCGGAATGCTCAGAGTGCTCCTAAGTTCCTTTCTCTGAGATGTATTTCTTCTAGACAGTGAAGGTCAAGGCAAACACATGTCTGCTGAACGTACCTTATGAACTTTGCCCTGCGCTGTGTGCCTCAGAAAACACAAAGGAATACAATGCAACACCGTTCCTCAGTATAAATACACATGATTTAATGGTATTTAACCAAAAACAGGTTTTGAGAGCCTGAACCCCAAAAGTGAGGAATGCAGGCTACTTTCTCCTTCTGAAATTCATAGCTTGCCAATTTTCCTTCTCTCTCCATATCTCATCCAGTCTCCTCTGTAACGGGAACTGCTTGGCTTTGCTGGGGCATACTTGTCATAAAAGAAAGGGCCAGCCCAGCCCCAGATTAACGTGACTTCTCAGCTCTGCTCCTGTGTGTGTGTGTGTGTGTGTGTGTGTGTGTGTGTGTGTGTGTGTGTGTAATTTCCAATTTCTAGGAAAGCTGACCAGTGTGCCTCTGGATAGTGAGTGTGCTGACCAAGAATGACAAACTTGGCCACCCATCAGGCAAGGACTAAGCTTAGGCAGACATCCTGAACTTATATTAACTAGCACTCATTACTTTTCCAAAGCTTTATTGGCTTACAGCAGTCATTCAGGCAGACTATTCAGGCTCTAAAGAGCACTTACCACACCTGTGAGGCCCAGAATGAGGGGATGTGTTGCTCCTAGCTTTTGTACTTTCCTTTGGTTCCAAAGCATTTGAAAGAAGACCCTGACCATTGCTTGTGGGAAAGCAGATGATACCATTTGTCACCAATCTTTCTTATGGTCACATGGAAGATGGAGTGCCTATTTCTAAAGAGAAGTTAATCAACTTCAGTCTACTTTGATTTCATTTGCTTTGTTTGCCGTGACCTGAGTTAATATTTTATCTAGCTAAGACAACAAAAATAAAAGACTATCGAGGTTTGGAATGCTTTACACCAATGTAGCAAAAGTGAGGTCACAGGATAGTTTGATAAGCATGGTCTACTTGTTCTCTAACTATTTTCAAAGGATTTAAGGACATTTGGAAAGACCAAAAAGCACACACATAGTTATTGCATAATATTTTGGGGGAGAAGCAAGGTGAACAACTGTCCCTAAACCGGGACAGCTTAAAAAATGACTCATGCAAATTCAGCTATATGGGGTAAGTTGAGTTTATTAGAGGTTGCTTATGGACAGTCCCATTTGCCTAAAATGTCTAAATTTCCTAAAACTGTCTCCATCCCTACACCTCATCTTTGGCTCTAAATTTATAGCAGAATTGCTACAGACCTGGTTTGGGAGGACTACTTAGTGGGGCAGTAGAACTGATTGCAGGCTCACAGACCACGCTCAACTCTGGGAAATTTAGGTTGATATGTACTCTGTCCTTGCCCTTATCAAAGACTGCAGTGGTGTAGGAAAACACCATACAACCTGAGTAAGGATGGCTCGTTTTCTGCTCTCTGGAATGCAGAAAAGTGAAACGGTGGACAGCTGCAAGAAAGAGTCACTCTTTTTAGGATTGGGAGGACTAGTCTCATTGTAACTAACACTAAACACACGTTTGATATGGAAAAAGAGGCATGAAATAAGCTATATTTTAGAAATATGTTGAAAATACTATTTTTTTTGCCTCAAAGTATTCATCTGAATAATTCCAGTCATAACAAAAGAGTTAAGCTAGCCACAGTTGCACATGGGTGAGGCAGAGCGAGGAGGAGCAGCTGCAAGTTCAAAGTGCAAGTGTAGCCAGCCTGGGCTACAGAGACCCTACCTCAACAATAAAATGGAAACAAACAAACACACAGACAAATAGAACGACAATGACATATAAAACCCAGAACCCAAACCCAAACTCAAAGAGTTAAATGCTATTGCCAACCTATAAAGGAACTAGACAAATACATTTAATATTTATTTGTCCTCAGGGCAGGGTAAGAAAAGAATTTGTAGCTCATTTAAAAGGGAAGAAATCTTGCAGAGTGAGAAATGTTAACAGAGAGGGCTGCATAAACATTTAAGCCTTCTCGACTTCACAAGGTGCCCAGAGCAAAATTAAATAGTGAAAAGATTTCTAACACAAGTGACCAAATTTGATGCCTTCACCATAAAAAGTAGTAGCTTTATCTGCTAAAAATAATACAAAGGCAGATGAGAGGACATGAAACAAGAAAATTTCTAAGACTTGGTATAAAAAAAATAAACTTACAAGACTACCTATGAATGTTAACTAATAAGAAAATGTAAGTTAAAGCAATGTAATTCCATTATACACTTCTGGTTAGAAAATAATAGTGTCCAAATGAGGAAGAGGCTCCAGAAAGGCGGTCTGCATAGCCCATAGCTAATGGTAATACGTCTCTGGAAGACCATCTACCAATATTGCAGCAGTCCATCAAACAGGCATACACCTGGACTCAAAATTCTATCTCCATAAACAAACCCTTGGGAAAGAATCAAGATTTGTATAAATATTTAAGTATGGGAATGTTTCTAACTTATTCATTTTAATAGCCACTTTCCCCAATGTTCTCAGAATGAACATTAATTATCTTCCTTACAAGGAGAGTATACAGTAATAGAAACAGAGCTTTAGTGAGTACACATTTGCCTCATCCAGCATCTTGCCTTGGAACTATCTAGAAGGAAAAGTGCATAACTTAATAAAGTGGCTTCCCCCTAAGTCATCAACACCTGTACTTTTCACTGTTAAGACTAGGGTGCCCTTGGCTGTCAGGCTTTATTTGCTTTCGTGAATAGAAGAAAGGTGAGAGAGCAGGTGACAGTGGAGACCCGGCCAGCATTCCTCACAATACGCAGAGGTCTGGATAAGGCTACACTCCTTACGGGGGTGGGGTGGGGTGAGGGTTGGGGTGTCTGGAGAACACAAGATAAGACATGAAAGTAGACACATAACTAATTGGGAAGAAGAAAGTGCTCAGCGAGGGTAATGGAGTGACTATAATCAATACATTATATATGTGCATGAAAATATCTTAATAAAGCCCATTATTACACATAATTAAAACACTTTAATAAAAACCACAGAGTCTTGGGGCAACTGATTCCACTGAAATGGCTCCTGAGGGGCAGGGTTGATACTGTTCCTCTGAAGACCTTGCATCACCTCGAAAATGTAAAGGCCTTTGGGTTCCCCTTGATTCAAAAAGGAGACTTCAATTCATTTGGAAGTTTACACACAAGATGGCTAGCCCAGGGAAAAATTAGCACCTACACATCATCTGCCTTATTTAGCTGGGGGAAACGCTTGGATGGAAGAGTGATCAGATTAATGAAATGACCTCCTGAGTAGGTCAGCATTGCAGAGACTCCCTGTGGGATCCCACGATGTAGAAATGCAGATGAAAATGGAAATAGACCTATTTTTACCACCCTGCACCAAATTCACATCCAAGTGGATCAAAGAGCTCAACATAAAACCAGACACACTAAATTTAATAGAAAAGAAAGTGGAAAATAGCCTTGAGCTCATTGAAAGAGGATACAACTTTCTGACCAGAACAGCTCAGGCTCTAAGATCAACAATTAATAAATGGGACCTCATGAAACTGAAAATCTTCTTTAAATCAAAGGACACTGTCAACAGAACAAAACAACAGCCTACAGACTGGGAAAAGATCTTCACCAACCCCACATCTGACAGAGGGCTAATATCCAAAATATATAAAGAACTCAAGAAATTATACATCAACAAACCAATTAACCCAATTTAAAAAATGGGGCACAGAACTAAACAGAAAATTCTCAACAGAGTAATATCAAATGTCAAAGAAACATTTAAAGAAATGCTCAACATCCTCAGTCATCAGGAAAATGCAAATCAAAATGACTCTGAGATTCCATCTTATGCCCATCAGAATGGCTAAGATAGAAAACTCAAGTTATAGCACATGCTGGTGAGGATGTGGAGAAAGCAGAACCCTCTTCCATTGCTGGTGGGAGTGCAAACTTGTACAACCACTTTGGAAATCAATCTGGCACTTTCTCAGACAATTGGGAATTCTGCTACTTCAAGACCCAGCTGTACCACTCCTGGGCATATATCCTAAAAATGCTCCACCATACCACAAGGACACCTACAAGGACAAGTGTGTTCATAGCGGTTTTATTCTTAACAGCCAGACACTGGAAATAACCTAGATGTTCCTCAACTTAAGGATGTATAAAGAAAATGTACATTTATACAATGGAATACTACTCAGCTATGAAAAACAAGGACATCTTGAAATTTGCAGGCAGATGGATGGAACTAGAAAAGATCAGCCTGAGTGAGGTAACCCAAGGAGGGATCTGGGTAGGAGAGGGGATGGGAAGGGGAACAGGGGAAAGATTAGGAGTAGGGAGAGTGAGGGCACAGCTCTGGGATTTGCCAGAGACCTGAGTTGGGAGGCTCCAGGAAGTCTATGGGGGTCACCCTAATTGAGATCCCTAGCATCTGGGGCTCTGGAGCCTGAAATGGCCACCTCATGTAGCCAGGTAGGACTTCCAATGGAGGGATAAAGACACCAACCCGCCCACAAGACCTTCTACCCAAAATGTGTCCTGCCTACAAGAAATGTAGGGATTAAGATGGAGCGAAGATCGAGGAAGCGGCCAACCAAAAACTTGCCCTACTTGAGACCCATCTCATGGGAGAGAACCAATCCCTGATATTAATGTTACCCTGTTATGCTTATAGACAGGAGCCTGGCATAACTCCTGAGAGGCTTCAGGCAGCAGCTGATGAAAACAGATGCAGAGACACACAGCCAAACAGACAAAGGTCTGAGGGTCCTATGGAAGTATTGGGGGAATGATTGGGGGAATCAGGGGGGTCAAGGACTCCACAAGAAGACCTACAGAGTCAACCGACCTTGGCCTATGTAGGCTTACAGAGACTGAACCACCAACCAAAGAACATACATGGACTGGTCTTGGCCCCCTGCACATAAGTAGCAGATACACAACTTGGTCTTCATACAGATCCCCCAACAATTGGAATGGTGCCTCTCTGACTCTGATGCCTCCCTTTGGATCCAGTTTCCCTATCAGTGGGAGAGGATGCGCCTAGTTCTGCAGTGACATAGTGTGCCAGGGCGGGTTGGTACCCATGGAGAACTTCCCTCTTCTCTGAGGAGAAGAAGAGAGGGGAAAATGGGGTGGGAGGAGGAGCGAGGGGGACTCTGGAAGGAGAGGGGCACTGGAAGGAGGGGGACTGCAATCGGGATGTAAAGTGAATTAAAAACAAACAAACAAACAAACAAACAAACAAACAAACACTTCAACGGGTTAGGGTTAGGGAGCAGCTGTGAGGGCCTATGGCTGGTAATAGAGCCACGTCCAGAGCTGCTCCGGAGTGTTGTGTTTTAGCTACGCTTGTGAAATTGAAAACTACAAAAACAGGAGGAGAAAATTTTAAATTAGTGTGGATTAAGTGCTGACCAGGAATGTAAAGGGCACTATGTCAAGGAAATAGCGCTTTGTTTTGTTGGAAAAGTGATAAAAATACAAAAGTCAATAAAACTGTTAAAATATGTCTTCTTAACTACCAAAAATAAAAAAAAAAAAAAAAGGAGATTCAATTTGTAATCTCAGAGGTGGGGTAGGAGGGGGGAAAGGAGGGAGGGAGAAGCTGGGGTGAGGAAATGAAAGGTGTCTCAGTGGAGACAGACAGGGTCCAGTGCAGCCTTCCGTTGACCCTGTGGCTGGCTGACGTGCACATGGTTCCTTCTGTTTTCCTGCAGGACTGCCCAGCTGATTCGGAAGACTTCAGGGCCCAGCAGTGCTCAGCGTACAATGATGTGCAGTACCAGGGCCATTACTATGAATGGGTTCCTCTGTACAACGACCCCACCGCCCCATGCGCGCTCAAGTGCCACGCTCGGGGGCAGAGTGTGGTGGTGGAGCTGGCTCCCAAAGTGTTGGATGGAACTCGCTGCAACGCTGACTCGCTGGATATGTGCATAAGTGGCATCTGCCAGGTAAGCCACACCTGCCATACATGTCCTTGCTCCACGCCCATTCTCAGTTAAGAGGTTTAACCATTTCAGTGTAAGTGTAGTCCCAGCAGAGAAGGTGAAGGCTTTAGGAGAATGATAGAATTCTCCCTCTGTTCTAATCGCTGAGAAAGTTTTCAAAACCCCGGATATCTGTCATTCCAGTCACGTTTTCCTTATTTAATGTAGGTTTTTGCCTGTGCAGAATCAAAACACGTGAGTCCTAATAGTTCCCTGAGATCAGGAACTCTCCAGATAGGGTATGCAAGTAGACTCCTCCTGAAGGCTTTGAGGAAATGTAAGCTATTCCCTCCCAGAATTTCTGACTCAGTAGGAGGAGTGAGGCTCAGCATTTCTCGGGAGCTACTGACGCTTTGCTGCAGCCTGCAGGACCACACTCTGAGAATGCCGCTTTGGAGAGGCAGTGCCGATCTCTGGGGTCAAGGGCAGTCCAGCGGATGTATCAGACAATTTTGCAGAGCTGAAATGAGTGGGACCAAAGCTTGAGGTGCAGTGGATTGCAGTGAAGTGCAGTGACTTAGAGAGGTTCCAGAGACAGCGTGAGGACTCCAGGGACATCACAGAATTCTTTCCCTCCTTCCTTTCATCTCTGAAGGATGCTATCTATATGTGTGTGTGTGTGATATGTAAGGATGTGTTAGCCCATGTGAGAATGGTAGAGGCCGTTGGACATCTTCCTCAATTGTTTTTCACTTTATGTTTTGAGACAGTCTCTCAGTGAACCCAGAGCTTGCCTGAGGAGCGACCCCAGTGATCAGCCTAATTCCATTCTTGCCACCATCTCCAGTTCCGGGATTATAGGCATGTGTCGCTATGGCCTAGATGTCTGAACTCATATTTATCCGACAAACACTTTACCAAACTGAAACATCTCGCCAGCCCATAAAGAACGCCTTTTTCAGAAAAGGGAAATAATACAGTAAATATGTGAGAGCATGAGGAAGGCTTGGAGGTAGAGGAAGAGGAGCATCTGGAATGGAAATAGAGTGGCAGGACAGGTTGATAGGGACTGAAGATGACCAAAGACTATTATATACTTGTATAAAATGTCATAAGGACAACCATTCATTTATACAATTAACAAATGCTACTAAAAATGGAAAAAGGGGGAATCTTCTAGCATTCCATCTCCTCTAGATGGCTTAAAGAAGAACAGTAACTACAACAAGCAATCAGCTTTGTGGGAGGGAAAACTTGGTATCTATCTTTCTTTTCCCCAATTACCTTTCATGTCCCTCCTTCCTCCTGCCTTTTCCCAAGGAGCCACCTTCCACTTTCAGGTCATTTCCTTTTTTTTTTTTTTTTTAATTTTTGGAGTTGTGTATTCAATAAATTCAATAAGGTCATTTCCTTTTTAAAATTATTATTATTCTGTAATTTTCTGTTTAACTTATAAACTCTATCCATGTGCTCACCACACTTTCAATGATTTGTGACGGGTGTCATAAAATTCAGGAGTCTTGCCAGGTTTTTCCAAGATCTTCCTACACAAATTTCTACTATCCTACTTTGCAGATCTGTTTTTAAGAAGGCTTATAGGTACCTAGAATTTAATGTTTAGTGTAAGACAGATTTCTTTCTTTCCTTCTCCCTCCCTACCTCCCTCCCTCCCTCCCTCCCTCCCTTTCTTCCTCCCTCCCTCCCTTCCTTCTTTTCTCTTTCTTTCTTTTGTTTTGTTTTCAAGACAGGGTTTCTCTGTATATATACTTGGCTGTCCTGGAGCTCACTTTGTAAACCAGACTGGCCTCAAGCTCACAGAGCTCTGCCTGCCTCTGCTTCTTGAGTGCTAGGACTAAAGGCTTACCCCACCATGCCCAGCTTTCTACACCCCTTCTTGCTCCCATGCTTGCCCACCCTCCCTATTCCCCAAACTTCCCATCCAAAATATACACATTTATAATTGATGAGCCTTCATTAAACAACACATTATTTCCCATGTCAGGATTTATAGGTATCATTCCCTTCCCTCAGTATCTGTTTTCTTTTTGAGGTAGAGTCTTACCATGTACCCTACACTGTTCTCAAAATAACTATGTAGCTCAGGCTAGTTCTAAACCTATTGTCCTTCTATCTCAGCCTCTTGAGTGCTAGGAGAACAAACCTATGACATTCCCACCAGCGTCCTCCTGAGTCATTCCACCAACATAAGATTTTCTATGCTTTGTCTTTTCATCCCTCTGCCCCACTTCCAACCTCTGGTAACCATTTACAAATTTCAAAATACTTATAGACACCATATTTCTAAACAACACATAGACAAAGGAAAAACATCTCAAAAGAAAGAAAAAAAATTGAACTCAGTGAACATGGAAATACAAATTGATAAAATATGTGCAATACAATGAAAGCCGTGCTCAAAGGAAAATTTCCAACCCTGAAGAAGACTCTAAGACTCTTAGATGAAGCATCTAAGCCCTAGGAAAATCGAAATGCAGCACAATTCAATCCAAGACAAGTGGAAGAAAATAACTAATACAAGTGAGAGAAAATCCGGGAGAAAAATAAGTGGAAATGAGACAGTGATGCCAAAAGTTGGACTTTTAGAAAGATCACTAACATTGGTATTTTATAGCTAACTATTAGACAGACTAAGAAAATAATGAAACGGAAACAAAACAGAGCAGAAGTGAGAGTAGAGATGTTAAGATCTAGTGGACGTTAAAAGGATAACAAATGAGAAAGAACAGCCCTGTGTCCACAGATCTGATAGACAAAATGATCAAAGGCTAGTTCTGCCAAACTTCATGTAAGTAGTAGTAGGCAAATAAAATATGACTATATAAATGGAAGAACTCAAATCAATGATCACAAAGCTTCCAAAATAGTAATTCCTCTACCTCAAGGATTCACTTTATAGTGAAACAAATACTTCAGGAAAAAAAATTATACCAATTAATTTTTTTTATTTCATAGGTTTCAAATTTTCTTTTATTTTTTTGAGATTTCAATGTAGTTACAGCATTTCCACCTTCTGCTTCCCTCTTTTAAACCTTCTCATTTCATATTCATGGCCTCTTTTTTCATTAATTGCTATTACATACACACACACACACACACATATATATACACATACATACACTTATACATAAATACATACACATGTTATATACACATACATACATACATATATACATACATACACATTTCTAAATACAACCTTCTCAGTCTGTATAACGTTACTTGTATGTATGTTTTCAAGGCTGACCATCTGATCCTGAATAGCCAGTTGGTACAGTCTTCCCTGGAGAAGACTCTGTCTCTTGCTCTAGCCTTCCTTGGTTGCCTGTAGTTTTTTTCTGTAAGGTGGAGGCTTCATGGGCTTTCCCCTGTCCATGTTAGTATCTCTATTGTTGTTGTCCTGGTCCAGCTCGTGTTTAGGCTGTCATGTTGGAGAGACTTCGTGGGTGTGGCTTCTAACGTTTCTAAGAGGTACAATGTCACAGCAAATTTCCTCTTTTATACCAATCCTTTATGATCTCTTTCAGAAAATAGAAACAGGGAGATCTAAATTCATTCTTCCATGAGCGCAAATATAGAAATCTCAACAAATATTAATAAATCAAACTCAACAATGTGTAGAAACACAGCCAATGACATTTATTCCAGATATCCAAAGCTCACTCAGCATTCAAAAATCAATTACTATAATCCATCAGATCCACATGCTAAAGAAGAGCCATCATGATAGGAACAGATGAAGAAAAAAATTAACCAAATATAACTCATTCATGATAGAAAAGGTTAAAACAGAACTTTCAGGAAACTGAGAGAATTCCCACCATTCCATAATGAATATTTTTAAAAAATTATAAGTACAACATATTTTTTGAGACAAGGTCTCACTGTGTAGCCCTGACTAGTCTGGAATTTACTGTGTGGATCAGGCTAGCCATGAGCTCACAGAGATCAGTCTGTTTCTACCTTCCAGGAGCTGGGATTAAAGGTATATGTCACCACGTTTGACTTAATGCAATTCTTAATGAAAGAAACGTTCTTGCTAAGATTAGGAATAAGGCAAAGATGTGCCCTAAATCCTGTCTCTGCTTTCAACATACTGGTAATAAAAGACAAGATAAGATATGCTGATTGAGAAAAACTAAAAGTATCTTTGTTTACACATTATTTGATTGTATATGTTGAATAATAAAGAGAAAACCTCCTGGAAATAATAATTAATTAAAAGTAATAGAGTATATACAAATAGGTTTGCTATACAAAAGTTAGTGACTTCAACGATATACAGCAGGATGGACTTACAATTGTTGAAAACTTTTAATGTAATTCCACTTACATTAGAATCCCCAAAAGGATATACCGTGATATTGAAAGAGCTGAGCAGAGTTGGAGGACTGACATTATACAACCTCAAAACTCAGGATAAAGTGACAGTAATCAGATCAGCAAGATACTAGCACAAGAATAGATAAATGGATCAGTGGACCAGAGTAGAGAGCCTAAGAATAAGTCCATAGTAAGCCAAGTGATCTCTGAGAAAGGAGCAACAGACAGCAGACAGTCAACAGATTGTAGTACAAGAACTGGATATTTATATACAAAAATTCTAAGTCCATATTAGCATCCTTCGTAAAACAAATATACCTATCACAAATGTAAATAAAAACAGAAAAAAATCTTCATGAAGTTATGACTACAATATCCTATAGCTGTCTGCCAATCTCTCTTCATTCACTGCCTGCCCTGCTCCATCTTATCTAACTCTTTCTGTTGACAAATCTTCCCATGGTCAAGGCTTCCTGCTCCATTCTTCTGCATCACACATTGTCCATGATTTTCTTCTATTGCAAAGAGTCCACCCTGGGGTCTCTCTGCTGAATAATAATCGTCACCACCAGACTGTGGGGTTATACTGATTTTCTTCCAACTTTTTGCCAATGGCATGCATTACTTTTGTACTCAAATGAATCTATTATTGTTAAAGGTGACTTAGATGGTTAGGGTTGAGC